TTTAAAAAGATGTCACACCAGGAAACGTTTTTTTTTAATTAAAATTTTTACTCAGTGTTTCTTTTTTTCATTCAAACAACTTTATAAGTTTTAGAAAAATATGGTTTGGATCAAAGTGCAACCATTTACACAAACATAAACAGACGTTAGAAAGTTCTTTTGTGCGTCACCAGAATGATGACTCATGATCCATCTAAAGGCTTTGGAAAACACAACACTTCTATAAAGATCCCAAAGTGACAACTTTTCGTTTTGCAACGCACAGTCTATCCTTCATGTGTTAATTATGAACAACAGAGTGCCACACTGACAGTGAATGACTGTCTTAATCTCACTGCCTGTTGTGGGAAATAAAGATTTGCAATTAAATGATTAGAAAAAATCGCTACAGAACAAGTTCACCTCCTGGCTGGGGAATGCACTGGTCAGCAAAAGTAATTAAGGCTAACCACACAGAGATAATGTTAGTGTTTATAACTGTCTATATCAAAGATGTGGTACACCTGACTTTATCATTATCTCTGTCTCAGATAATGTTCATATCAAAACCCCTCTGGCAGTTGTAGTAGTCCTCTGTGCATTTCATGAAGCCACGCTGCTGTTGTAAATCTTCTCCATTTCATTCCTGTCAGCTCCCAACAACAAAGGCTCATGCTTTGCATTTGTTCAATCCCAGAATCTACAACCGTCAACATCTCACATGTAATAATTAAAAGGGAAAGCTACACGGCCTTTGTAATAAGGCAGTAAAATATTTGTCTGCTTTGTTTATGACAATTATTAGACACTGAAAGGCGTGCATTTAGTTCATACTGTTGACTGCACAGATAAACCTTTGCGTGCATATGGGTGTGTGAGAGTGAAACAGAACATTTAATGCGTGCTTCACAAGTTACACACTAATGGAACAGGGCCTCAGTGTGAACCCACAAATGATCATTCTTCAGCTGTGTCACAATTGCCAAGTCAACTATGGTTTCCTGTGCGTATACCTAATAAGCATTGTGCCACTTGATTGTTAGGCATTTCTCTGCAGATGATTGATTGGGACATGTCGCTTGCTGCCAGTCTTGTAAATTCTGATCAAGAACTGGCTCATAATTTCGACAAAACAGAAAAGAGATCATGTTAGCGAGAGATAGGCGAAGAAGAGCGGGGGATTATGGATGTTTTAAGAAATAACAAGACAGACTAAACAAGTAGGCAGATGGGGTCATCACAGGATTAAATTAAGTTTGTTTTTCTTCTTTTCTTTCTTGAATCACACTTGACAAGCTTGTTAGAATAGAAATAATCACTTTGTGAGTGCAGTCAGCTTCTATTACATCTTACCAGAAGATTACGCAGAGGTAACATGAGATGTTTATAGTACAGATCACAGAAATCAATGCCTGCAGCACAGATTCTTTGTCTCTGAGAGCACTCTATAGAGCTTTAATCTAGCCAGTGTTAAGGTTCAAAATTGAGGAAGGAGAGTACAAACCACCCTTGGTCCAGAAGGTCTTGGTCTAACAATGATTTTAATGAATACACACGTGTGGGAAGAACACTCTGTACGCCGACAGCAAGTGATCTCCAACTTAATCAAAGCATGAACAGATATTTTATAGCATCAGGGTTTGATTTACTGACGCCCCTTCATGCGTCACAGATACATTTTATACATAGATCAGATCAACACCACAATGGCTTTTAACCCAGAAGATCATCTTCTATTTTCATGGCTGGTACTTTCCGTTCTTGTCTTAAAGTGAATTGTTCCTCTTTCACCGAGACATGACTAATCTCTCCTCTAAATAAATCTAACTAATGTGTGTGTGTGTGTTGACCCCACATGCTCTTTGTGTCACCTCTTCACCTACTAACTCTGTGTCTCGCCCTCAAATGCTCTTTCTCAATTCACCTGTTGCACTTCTGACCTTTCACTAGACCAGAAGCTCACTGAGACTATGCGTATGTCTTCTACTAAATAAATGTTTTAACCAAGAACCTCTACTAAAACCTTAATATAAAATGATCTGATATATAAGTGTTTTGTAAGCATGTATTGCAATTCCTTCTATGGCTCCAAGTCACTTGCACAATAAATTGTCCGAACATCGCGCCGAACAAAGCTTCCAACCCCCAATTAATTGACCGAGCTCCAACTCTTTAATAAGCACAGATATGCATTGTGTATAAAATAGTCATAACTGCACCTGAAATACAAGGTCAACATAATAACTGTATGCATAACATCTTAAGGCCTTCTTAAAGCTATCTGTTACATTGTTAAAGCCTCGTCTTAGCCCGCTGCTCAAAATAACTTCCTGCTTCTGCAAACTCTCTGCAAGCCTGTTTCCTGTCAGCCTGTGACTTTTAGCCTTTCTGAAAGACACACACTGTTCAACCCCTGAATGCAATATAAACTCCAGATTATATTATTAATGCAATGGTAATAATGATGATTATTTAACAATAGCAGTAAAATAATTTCCCTGCTCCACACCAGCCACTGTCACCTCCTGCTGGGATAAGATGATCCACTGTTCAGCATCAGAGAGACAGAGACAAAAAACTATACATCTTATATATTCTTTTTTTATGTTCCAAGAAATATCTGTGAAGGGCTTCGCTGAGAAACACAACTACGGTTTCCCCAAGATAACAAAGTGATTCACTCTCCCAGCCTGGATTCATTTTAGATTTAAAGCTGCACAACCAAACATTTTTGTATATCCAGCATATTTCATCACTGCATATACCATATAAAAACTCATAAATAATCAGTGTTTCACCCACAAATTTCATTTTATTTCCAGCACTCTCAAAACTTAAAAGAAGAAAAGTCAGTTATGAATAACAAAAACACAAGCCGATCTCGTCTGACATATCAATAATGTGTCAGTGTTTACAGCTTGTTCAGTTGGTGAAGATGACCAAGAATAAACATAAAACAAACCTTTTACAAACTCTTACGTGAACTTAATCCCTGGAAACTGGAAAGTATTTTGGGGATTTAGTTCACATAAATTCAGAGCATTTTCTGTCCAAATGACACCTCCTTCTCTGTGCATACGAATACATACTGTCCTCCCATTTGCTAAAGTGACATCAGGAAGCACAGCCCTGCACAGAGATGAGACTGTGCATCCTCTCATCTTTGCAGTAAAGATGACTTCTTTCGTCTTTTACACATGCTGGTACTTACATAACTTTTAATCGGTCCATTGTGGTGAGGCTACACGGTTACTTCGGATTGTTGTGATGCATTCAAGGATCACTTGATTTTGTTTTCAAGGGTACTTTTAATGAAAGTATGTTTTAAAGCGCAAGCAGCTGAAAAGACCTTGTTATTTTATCTTCCATGTTGTGTTATCTGGTTGGATGAAATTTTCAATTTTAATAAAAACCCTGTATTTAACACACATACACACACATATACATTATACATATAGATATGTAAAATGTCAATCATATATATTTCACCTCTGTAATGTTCTGGATATTTATAATTGAGCTTAAACTGTAACCACATAATTTTCTTTTGGGATTATTAAGGTGTTCTGATTCTGATACGCACTTGCTGGCACAACTCACAGCTAATGAATTAGTAACATTACTGGATGTAAAAAGAGCCTCATGGAGAAGATAAGCCATTTACAAGTAAAGCCAGGGAGTTCACTTCTCTTTGAAAAATTGCATGTGCAACTGGATAAACTATTTGAGATTAACAATGCCCAATATAAAGTTGCAAAGAATTTGGAGATCTCATCATCTGCAGTACATAAACTAATTAAAAGATTCAGAGGATCTGGAGGAGATCTCTGATCACATGGGACAAGGACAAAAACCTGTTTTGAATGATCTTTGAGGCTGTAGATTATTTAAAAATATACAATTGTTTAGTGGAAATCTCTTTTTGGCATTAGGCACACACTTTATAGCTAAACTACTCTGCCAAAAATAACCCAAAATCTACATAAATATAGTGCCTAACTTGAACCCAAGTTTATGGGTTTATTTATACAGAGATAGAGAGAGAAGGAAAAATCTTGTCTGCAGTCTTAGAAATCAGGTTTTGATGTTGTTTAGTGCACCACTTAGTTTGAACCACTCAGTCTTGTTTTTCTTTTTCTTGTTTTTCTTTCTTTCTTTCTTTCTTTCTTTCTTTCTTTCTTTCTTTCTTTCTTTTTTTTAAAGAAGAAGTCTTTCTCATTTCAACAATATAATACTAAAATACACTCTGCATGCATTTTAGCGGTATGAATCTGTAGCAAGGTGTTAAGCTGGTCTGCCCAAAGTGCCCACACAAGTGACCTACTGAATATATTGAGTATATTATGACACAAAAACTCCTATAAAGGAGGTGCGAAACCTTTTATTTGCCTTCATAACTGCAGCAATTTCCCCCCTGAGTTCACACATGCTTACAGCCTGTTGTTAAGAGGTGATGCAACACCATGGTAACAGGTGCCTGTCAAGTTTCTTCTTTCTTTTTTTTTCTCTTTTTTTGTTGCAGTCCATTCCATCAAATTAAATCTGAGCACATATTTAGTTAAATGCCTGCATCCTGTTTTTATCCAGTGTTGTAACTTTTCTTTTTCCTAAATTAGGTTTTAGAAACTTTACCATATTCATTACCATTGCTTGACATTTGAAATGCTCTTCACATTTAATGAGAGCAGCAGACGGCCTTCAGCCCATATAAAGATTCCCCTTCTGCTTTAAGTAAATATATGCAAGAAAGAATGCATCGCTTTACTAAACCCTCACATTCTTGACTAAACCTACTCAGTATTTGCTAGCACAGTAGCCAATGATGTTATAGTCACATAACATAAATAGTAACCTCATCATCTTGCAGAAATTCTTTTAAAAAAATCCAAATGCATCCACCCATTCAGTGGAACGTGTTGTAACAGCTGTGATATACATCTGTTTTATCGCTGTTTAATATGGTGTAGCCGTTCCATGTCTGAACCTTTGATGCAGTTCTTTTGTTGATGTTTTGACTGCAGGAGTCCACCTGGATTTACCTGTTTTCCTTCCTTGCGTTGCCCGCAATGCTGCAGCTGTGTGTGCTGCCCTTCCTCCCTGAGAGTCCTCGCTACCTGCTGATGGAGAGGAGGGATGAGGCTGGAGCGGAAAAAGGTATTCCATAAACAACACTTAAGAACATCTGCAAAATGCAGTCCGGCTGACACAAGAGGCTTTGGTGTCTCATTGTGGTTATTATGTTTGAAAACTCTGCTGTTGCTCTTTACAACAACTACTACACATTACCACTCTTTTAGAGTTAGAAAAAATGTCTTAAGAAGTAAGACTGTCACTGTCACTCAGGTGACTGGAGTATATCTGCAGGGACCAGACATAGTTTTTTAGTGAAACAGAAGTTCATGATTGCTTTCCCACTGGTGAGATTTGTGGCTTTTAGAGTGTTTTATGCTGTTTTCAGCTATTTCAGTGTACAGAAGACTAGCTACACAATTTTCACAAGTGAAAGTTTTGCTTTATATAAATACTTCAGCTTTTAATACTGGCCAAGGTTTTAAGAGGACCAAATCAGAGAGTGAATTCTTGAATTCTTCACTTTTAAATGTAAAAATATATTCTTAAATACAGCTTTCAAATAGTAAATTAAAGACTGAGAGATGGCTTCACATCTTTATTTATGATTGTAAAGCAGTTTCAAAAAAGAAGTGCATTGGTAATGTGAGTTAAATAAACTGTGACTCTCAGTGGTTTTAATTCTACACATAATTGTTTTTTATTTATTTTTTTCACAGCAGACATTTTGACATGCTACATTTGGAATTTATTGCAGCCATTATTAATATAACTGTTTTTTTCTTATATAATAAGTGATAAAGCTGGGAGTGTGAAAAGTCTTTTAGTTACCTTTTTTAACTGACCTAAACCAGTTAAAAAACCATAAAATCTAAAATCTGTTGTAATATTCAGTCATATGTTACTATACCAATTCCAAAAAGGTTGGGATGCTGTATAAAATGGAAATAGAAACAGAATGAAATGCAAATTTCATAAACCAATATTTTATTTTTAATTTCTTTTTCATGTTTTAATAGTGAGAGCTTGTATTTCAAAAAAAATATTAGCAGACACGGGAGAAAGGAAAAGAAGTGTAATAAAAACAAGCCTTGTATTAGGCTGAATACCAAAAATAAGGCAAGGTGAAACAAGGGAGGAACTACACTAACCTAAACTGGGAAAAAATCCTAGGATCAACTATAAAAACAATGACATGAGACAATGGCATGAAACTGAACAGGAATGTGCAAAACGTAAACGAGAAATAATCAAAACATGAGCATAAACCTGAACAGTATTAAGAAAAGCTGTGACTTGCTGTGACTTGACGCAACGTAAACAGATGAAGACAGAGGACTTAAATACACAGAAGGGTAATGATGGAAGTGGAAACAACTGGGGAAACACAGCTGACACGAATGAACATGACGCCACAGGGGAAGTAAAACTAAACACACTGAAAATGGAAACACCAGTCTCTTCGAAGTAAAACAGGAAACATAATTGAATGTAGAGATGAGAACACAAGCTTGACAATAGAACATGGAAACACGCACACACGACAGACTGGGGAGACACAGAACACAAGGAGAGACGTGGGAACAGATAAGGGAGATGAAAGCAAGGGTATAACTAAGCGTTAAACATAGAGGACAAGACAGATGTACACAGAAGACAGGAAACGACTCATAAACATGGAGACATGGATGAAACATAAGAAAAAAGAAAAGCTAGAAAAAAACTCAACTAAACCCTAACTGAATAATAACACAAGAAGTTAACATTATTGCAGTCTAACATAAGAAAATCAAGAATACAAAATAAACTCAAAATGTTAGATCAAAAATTCAGCCCCTGACAATAATATTCCTTAAAATCATGGATACTTTGAATATTTAGTCATCTACAGTACATATCATCAAAAGATTCCAGGACTTGAGAGACGTACACAAAGGACAAGACTGAAGAGCTGTGAATTTCACGGCCTCAGGCAGCACTGCATTAAGAACAGGCATGATTCTGTAATGGGCTCAGAAATACTTCCAGGAACCAATGTCTGTAACCACAGTTCACCATGTCATCTACAATAGCAGGGTAAAGCTCTATCAGGAAGAACAAAGCCACATTATGAACATGATCCTGTCATGTGATGAGGAACAAGCACCCAAACACAGACTCAGAGGGCAGGAAAGGTGTCAAATAAAGTGCTTCTTTAATAATAACCATTGAAGTGAGTCCAGTATAACAGGGCGTGTATACAGGCAGTCTGACAAAAGGAAAATGGAGACTGGGACTACATATACACACAAAGACACTGAGGTTTAATCAAGGGAAGAGGAAACAGGAGCGGAACAAGGAAACTGAAACTAATTAAGCCCAGTGATTCAAAGGAAGTAAAACAAAATACAAACCACAGGCAACTGGGAATTACAAAATAAAATAGGTAAGTAAGTAACTCCACTGGAAAACACAAATAGACAGGGACTTAACAAGAAAACACTAAGGAACCTAGAGTGATACATACACTAAAATCATGGCACAGTACACTGAACCGAAAACAGAATAACAACTCTCACAGCAATCAAAATGAAAGAATAACAGAAACAACAAAACTCAACCCTCAATAGTAATAAAAACTGAAGGGCAAGAGGATAGGATAACAATGAGAGGCAAACTAAAAAAAAATCTTAACAACCAGAAAACTCAAAATAACCAAACTCCCACACCATGGGCCAAAGCTCATTTAAATTGGATTGAGGCAAAGTGTAAAACTGTTCTGTGTTTAAACACATCAAAATTTTAAATTGGTTTTGGAAAACATGAACACCACACCTCTGGACTACCGAGGAGAAAAATTGTCCAAGAGTTCAAAAGCCTGCATCTCTGATGGTATATGGGTGCACTCGTGCCTGTGCATAGATAGCATGTATATCTAGATACTGCATATTTCTGCAAGACAATGTAAAACTACAAACAGCATGGCTTTGCACTGAACTAACCTGCAGTCCAGACATTTCACCAGTCGAAAACATTTGTTGCCACAAAATGGAAAATCTGACAAAGAAGGCCCAAGACTACTGAGCATCTAGAATCCCATATTACACAAGAATGGGAGAGCATTCCTCTCCTGAAAGTCCATCCTCTTTTAATTGAGTAATTCAGTTCCTTAGTTACTCAATTAAAATTCTGGTTTTCTATTTTACAAATCTTTTTCTTTGATACCTCACAAATCATTGATTGGAGGTATAAATGTCTTGTACAATCTTTTGTTTTTTTTAATATTCTGTTTCAAATGCACTGATTCAGTGCCTTTAAACCACAGTAAGCTGCAGCTGCCAGAGAGGCAGAGAGATACTTAAAATCACAGCACATCTTCATCTTTCTGACCTCAAACAAAGGAAAGAAATGAGGAGATGGTCTTTCGCATATTTATTTGGCTCTTATGACACAATAGGGGAAATAAAAAGTTGCTCTTGAATGTTATGTCCCAGTTAAGAGTTTTATCCATTAAACCTCTGTTTTGAAACTGCGTAGACCCTTAACCTTTAATTTGCAGCTACATTTTCACAGAAATGTTTCATTTGAAACAAATGCAAATGAAAATTATTCATTACTTTTTAATCATGTCTTTTTAGTATTCTGTTTTTGAAAATGTTTTCAAATCACCTATTTTTTACTTTTTTGGTATTCCGATTGCACAGCTGCGAAAGGCAGTAAATATCAGAAAAAAAGGCAAAAATCAGCTGCTTTTTATGAAGCATGAGAAATACATACATTATTTATTGCAGCAATCTTTGCACAGTTGTGTTACATTTCCCCTTAGACCTTACTCAAACAATAATTTATTCTCACTGACCACAACCTTTTCCAACAATTTGTTTTGTTGTACCTTACCTATACATTGGCCATAGTAAAAGGTTACAGGTGCAAAATTATAAAAAGTTTTCATAACTATTACAAATATTTCAAGCTTCAAAAAAAGAATATGATATAAATGCTGTGACATGAAAAGGCACAGCATGGATTAAAGGCGTACGTAGCTCAAACTACATGTGTTAATGAAGTATAAAGAAAAATGTAATTTCAAACAAAACTTTAATGAATTTGGTCTCTGGGGTGGTTTGAGCTGTTTCATGCCCGCGTCCATACATTATAGATTGGTAATCTCTGAAGGTTTGGTGGCTTACAGTTTATTCTTTGTAAAATTGAACATGATCTTTGATTCTTTTGAACATGTTGTGCATGAAGGTCTCAGAGGACAAAGCAGTATTTATGATGATGGTGTCACATGAGAAAATTAATGATCAAAAATACAATTAAATGGAATAAACAGATTTATTATGCAGCAATAGACATGTTACCAAATAGTAGTGATAATAATAATTGGTTGGTCTTATGGGCTTCTTTGAAAACACATTCTAGTTCTGCGATGTCTTTTTTCTGCACACTTTAAGTGAAAATTCAAGGAGAGTACTCTTACCTCTCATGATGGAACACTGTTTGTTTAGCTCTGGTTTTGCCATCTGTCTTTTGTTGCTGCTTCCTTTGTGTAATAAATTCCTACCTTGAGTACTTCCAGCAAGTTAGAACCAAAGAAATGTGTTTTTGTTGCTTTTATCTTACAAAAAAGACAAAAAGATAGTTGAACAAGTCCAGAAACCAACTGCAGAAAAGCATGATGTTATAAATTTAAAGTTTCTAAATCTTTTATTTATATAATTCTGTCTTACTTTTTATTACAATTGGATTAAAACAGTGTGCCTCCAGTGGTGTAGTGGTTAACACATTTGCTTGGCAAGGAAAGGGTTGCTGGTTTTAATCCCAGCTGGAGACTCAAATCCTCTTTAGGGCTTTTTCAGGAAGAGCAGCTAGTGCATAACAACTAGTGCAAGCCCTACCGGCTGTCATCACCCCTTGTGGCAAGGGTGAAGCCGGAAGCAGCTTTTTCATACTGTAACGATGGTTAAGTGTTATTGTACAGTGACATGTTGGTGATCTCTGCACACTGTTGTTGTTCCTTTAAGATTCATGTTTGGTTGTGGTACAGGAAGGGGAGGGGGGACCTGGTTGTTTTTGTGTGTGTGTGCCAGGCTGGAGAGAGG